TATGCATGAGCATTGCCAGGTACCAAAGGTATTCTCATTCTCGAGACAAACGTGCCATCACGGAAGACCCTTGAATACACCTTAGTTCAACACCATGCGTCACCTCAAAAAGCACAATCAAGGCCGGGCGCGTCACCCTGCCGCCACGCGCCACGACTACCGCCATTCGCGGCGGACCCCATCCGTCCGGCGGGGGCTCAGACCCGTCTCCGCCACCGGCCCCGCCACCGGCGGCGGCCTCTCACCGGTGAGGGTGGCCATGTTGAGCACGGCGCGCGGCCGGCACTCCTGCGCGTAGCAGAGAGCGTCTGCCAGGATCAGCCGCCCCTCGGCGTCCGTGTTGTCCACCTGGCGGCACCGCGGCGACCGAGGTCAGGTCGCACCGCAGCGACCGAGGTTAGGGTAGTACCGCACTACTGTGGCCGGGTGCAAAGGACCGGACAAACGCACGTGGGAGGCACTGAGGATCCGCCGCAGATACACCAGATGCGGTACAACGGCACGGACTTGCTTGAACACGACACCCTCTGTTTCCCGCTGAGCCAAAACACTGCGCTGTTAGCATCTCTAGCTCTCCATGTGTACCGACGGCTGCATCTCCGTCGACAACAGAATACTTCGTTTATGGCCCCAGAATCAGAGCGCACGGTTCCAGGACACAAACGTGGACCACACCGCCAGACTGGCACGTCACGTACCACACTCTCAAGTAATACGTGGCTCATGCGAGGCTGACATGACCGACTCTCGGGATGCAATCACTTTGCACGTGTTACAACATACAGCAGCCGCTAAACCACACGGCATCAATGCCAGCAGATCACTGTCCAGGCTGCCTCCGACCAGACCCAACAGCTGGGAACCCAGCCAGCCGGCCGGCCAGCCGTGCGCGCCCGCCGCACCTGCACGGTCTTGCCGTTCATGGCGGTGACGACGTCGCCGGGCTTGGTGGCGCGGCTGCCCGGCATGTTCTCGCAGAGGGGTATGAAGGCGCGCAGGTTGGCCGCCAGCCCGAGCCGCGCCGCCGCGTACAGCACGCCCACCGTGCAGGCGGCGCCGCCCATGTCCGCCCGCATCGTGTCCATGTTCTTGGCCGGCTTCAGCGAGATGCCACCCGAGTCGAACGTCACGCCCTTGCCTGGCGACGAGTGAGGCGGTGACGGGCGGAGGAAAGGCAAGGCGGTCGCGATGTGCAGTTGTGCAAAACAATGCTCGTGCAGTAAAGACAATTTACGAGCGTTTCGGTGAGAATTTCGCACATGGTTGCTGCCGGCCCAAAATTGAACAGAAACCTAGCCTTTGTTTGACCACAGTCCTAAACGCTTCCACCAAAATCGGAGCCACGCAACACATCGGCTGCCGTTGGACACCCCACATTTCAGCCACTCTGCTATTCCTGCCCACCCTTCCCGGCACTCGGACGCGATCCTTCAATCGTCGGCCACAGCAACAGTAAGACAGCACCTCTTTGTCCTCCGACCAGCGTCCCATCGCCGGACGAGAGTCTCGTTCCAGGGCGGGAGCCCCCTCGCCGGGCGGGAGCCCTCTCGCCGGGCGGGAGCCCCCTCGCCGGGCGACAGTCCCCTCGCCGGGCGACAGTCCCCTCGCCGGGCGGGAGCCCTCTCGCCGGGCGGGAGTCCCCTCGCCGGGCGGGGAATCCCTATCGCCTCACCGACGACGGCGAGCGGCGCAGCGTCGGCGCCGGCGCCGCTGTAGCTCAGCTCCAGGAAGCGCGGCGGCTCGGCCGATCCGCGCGACACGCTAAGGAAGGCGCCCATGCCTCGCTGACGGATCCAGGCCTCGTCCCGCACCACCACCTCCACCGGCAGCGAAGACATGGCCTCCGAGACACGCTGCCGATGGGAGGGATCACACTGCAGACCGCGCAGCCGGGCACGGGTCGGAACCCACATCCATCCCTCCGTGTGCAATAAAGCAAAGAACAGACACTTCGGCTGTTTTAAATATTTTATGGAATGAGCATTGGCATTGGCAATCTACATTGAGATAATTCAATGCTACGCTAACTTCATTTTCCTGTTGCCATGCATAGAAGTCACACATCGCACGTAAAGGAGCTTCCCAAACAGCTGACAAGGTGGTCCAGCTGTATTTCGCCACGCCACTCCAACTAAAAATCGCCACTCCAACCGAAAACCCAATCTAAATCTCCAACGCACAAGTCCGCGCCACTGCATCCGAAGAGCGTTACTCCCGACCTCACAGATCCGCTGAGTCACACCTGACCGACACGACAAAATGCTGACCTCACAGAAGAGCGTGGGAGTCAGGTAGTTGGCTGGGGCTTCCATCAGTGTCCTCGCCAGGTTCTGTCCGGAAGCCTTCAGGGCACCACGGCGCCAAAGCTCACTGACAAAACAAAAGCAGGAGTACTGAACCGATCGCTTTCAAGCCACAGTCGCGTAACCACACCCGTCAAAATCGCCTACACCGAGGTAGCATAGGCTACGCCAACCACACAAGCCCCAAATGCAACACGCAACCATGACATCTAATACAACAAACCACGAGTACGCTGGACGGGGTGCGGCCCTGTCACTGTCAGCAGACGGCCTGGCGGGCGGGCCGGCGGACCCCCGGCGCGGTCGGCAAGGAGCGCCCACCTGTCGCCGCCGGCACAGCTGAGCTGCACCGGCCGCTGACGGTCGGCCTCGGCCTTCAGCTCGTCGTACGACCAGAGCGCCAGGTGCGCGCCCTCGGCGCTCGCTTCCGCGTGCTCGGTCGGCTCCACCGTCACGTGACTGCACTGGACGTCACGCAGGGCCGTCACGCCGCCTGTCGACGTCATATGGCTGCGGCTTACGTAACACACGGCTCACATGTGGTTATGGCCCACGCATCATAGGGCTTGCATGCTGTCTGCCAATGCTACGCACCGCATGGCTGCAGCTGACACCCTGCAGAGCTGACACAATCACATACACGCACACACACACGCACACACACGTACACACACACGCACACGTCAGTGTCAGTGTCAGACGCCGTCACCGCCAAACGACGACGGTGGCGCCCGAAGAGCACCGGTTCAGTGTCGTGAGACAGCCGACAGGTGTACACCATGGACGGTGCACTCACTGGCGACGGCGTGGCGGACGTTCTCGCGGCCTTGGTGGACGTTCTCAGCG